ATCATTCGCTTGTTTGTAGACCTTTGTAACTATGATTCTGGGCTGGGCAAATCAACACAAACATGGCCTGTTTCACCGGGATGTGAGATGACTTGCTTTTGGTTACATGACTAGACTAAGTAGAACTATTTATTACCGGTATGTTTACGAACACGACTTTGAATTGCCTTGGCTTTGGAATGTTACCCAAGGAAAACAGCTATATTTCAATTGGCTATATTTGATTCCATTTATTGACTAGTTTCAGTGTGGTGACAAACAGTTCAGTTTGTATTCAGGTGATTATTGTTTGGAATTGATGGAAAAGTATTCTGAGATCTATGAGAGAATAAGCCTGAACCAAGGAACGACAGTGACAATGCTGTCTATTTTTTATATTTATCAGCAGAAATATTCGAAGTCACACAGAGTTTGTTTCCCACGTTTGTTTACAATTAAGAGAGCATGTGATTGTAAATGTTAACTGATATTTGTGCTTCCAGCAGCTTAGAATAATGTATGTAAAAAATATACTTTTACCAATTTGTTTTTATGCTTACAAATCACCATTAAAATTATGTAAAAAATACTTAGCGTGAAATTTGAAAGCAAATTTATGCAAATGTTTTAGTTCTATTAAATGTGTGAGTCTATATACTTGTGAGTCTATGGAAACTCAGGTGCTGTCACAGAACATACATGTATTAACAAATTGTAGTTTATAGAGGGGATCTCTACTTGCTAACCGGAAAACCACAGGAAAATACTGGCATGGACTTTACCATTTTGTTATATCTGTCTGTAAAACTTCAGTTGTTGTTAAAAAAAAAAAAAAAAGAACTGTAGCGACTAATTTAACAATAGACAGGAATTGAAATTCAGCTAATAAAATCATTAAAGGTATAATAAGTGAAGGCATTGAATGCACTTCTAAAATCTTTGATTACTGCTAGTTAAATTGTATTATTAATTTTTTGGGGGGGGGAGGGTGCATCTTTTTTGACAAAGGTCAGTGGTGAAATTTAAAGAAAATATGCTCACATTTTCAATGAAAATTGTGTTATTTAAGGCAACAAACACAATATTGAGTGGTCCGTTCAGTCATCACATGTCATAGTCTGGTCACACTTGGCATTTTCTATGCTCCACGCCGAAATGCAACTAATACTGTTTTGTGCCTTTTTCGTGAGTGATCGTAGACTTGGGTATTTGGGTAAAGTTTTGAAAAATGGGTTAATTCTGGATCAGAAGGGAGAGGGCAAGTTTTGGTCTTCTTTCCATCAAAGGAGTTATTTTAAACTGAAAACACACTAATTGCCCCCCAAGAGGTCAGGTATATTGTGTAATATATATAATTGTCATTTGGATTTTTGAAATTTACTGAACCAGGTGCAATAACCATCAACTTCATGTTACTAAAAAAAAATAAAAAAATAAAGAAAGTTTCCCTCCT